GTTATTCCGCTACACGCCATACGATGATATTATTATTTTCGTATGATGTAAACCGCACTCGTATGCTTATCCGCATTATTTAGTTTATTCATCGCGCTTTACATTATATTATATATCGACACGATATCCGAATGTGCGCGTGGGTCCAGACGGATAAATCATTAAAACCGTCCGGTCATGCGGAGGAACGAGCTCCCCGCCGAGATTACACCACGGTTATATGTTTTCCAGCCCTTCGAAAAACCGTCGCGTAATATTTTTTCTTCTTCTTCTTCTTTTTTTTTTTTTTATCTTATAGACAAACCGCCGAGTGTTCGCTCCGCACGCATCACGACGTCCACTAAAAACAAGTCGTTAAAATAATCGATAGGATTATACGAAGGCGTAGATTTACGGCAGCTTCGGTCTTCATCGCCGTTACGCCCGACCCCAGCTCACACTCGTTGTTGTTGACCCCAACGCCGCGTGTCCGCCGTCTGGCTAAAATAAAAACATGTTTGATAAGTAGTCTTACTTGAAAACGGACAAAAACTAAATGCTTATTGGACGGTACGTCGTCAGCATGGTTGTTATCATATCGTTCGCGTAAAACAATGAACACGCGCCGACGCAAAAACGCCCAGTTTGATTACGAAACGTCCGAGTTGGCCGCGTGCGAGAAAAACGTTTTCATTTTTTTTCCCTCATCAAATCGGACGACCGTGTTTCTTCGATCGACCCAATCAATAATCGTCTCGTGCACACGTAACGTTTTATTTTATTATTGCGTTCAGACGATTTAAAAGCAGCTAGTAGACCGGAAATTGTGAAATAAGGAAGAAAAAAAGCAAAGTAAATTAGAAAAGGCTATTTTACCGCGTTTCGCCAGTACTTGGTTTTATATTATTGTTATTGTGTATGTCCGTCGAAAATGGATAACATTTTATTTTTTTTATCGAATATGTATTATAGGTACTGCACAAATGGCTGCAGTCCGCGATGTGGTGGCATGTGCCATGCAGTTAGGTTCATGAGAGGTACCCATACTGATATACATAATATATAAATAGAGTATATTATTTGTGGGCCGTGTTTAGGCGTTATGAATATTTCCGACGATCCGATACGGAGTCTTGAAGAATGTAATATCGTGACGTGAAAACCCTCGAGGATTATTATTTTTTTGATATATATCTGTACATAAATGTATATGCGTTGTACTCCCGTGCAGTGTATGTAAAGAATACATGTACAATAATAATATCGAATGGATATATTTTCATAGGTCGGACCTCAATGCGATATGTATAAATATGTTATATTATTAATACGCTGTTTTAGAATATTTACCGGGCACTACCTGCTATTATGTACTTACACCTCTCTATGTATATTATTATTATTATTATTATTATTGTTATCCATCGGTTTTCATGCATCGTGTTTTACAGAAGGCGTTCTTTATAAATACGCGCGTGTTATCTAAACTTTATTTTCGTACACCCCGAGCGTGTTTCGTCAACATCGTTCTGACTTTATGGCGCGTATCGCGTACCTATGTAATAAACGTACGCGCGCGCCCACGACATTATAATCTGATTATATATTATCACCGAGCCGCTCTAATTATAGAGCGAGTTAAAGATTAGTACGATAATAATATCGTACGGAGGTGCAATTAGAGTTGGTCTATAACGTGTGTAATTTCCAGAGGGTTTTTATCCGCCGCATGTGCTGCACAGTGAGCCACGTCGTCACCGTTGCTCTACTTACTTATCAGATCATCCGGCTACAAACATGTCTTGTCGACAGCAGCGAGACGAACGGAATATTAATAGGGGTGAAACAAAAAAAAAAAATTATAATAATAATAACGAATAATGAAAAAAAAATACACGTTTATCATGACTCCCGTGTTAGCGTGCGGGGGTCGTCCGATGTCGAGACGAGAAACCACGACGAAAATATCGTCATAATATCCTCATGCACGCTCTTACTGTCTCTCCCTCCCACCCCCACTAGGTGCACGTTTGACGATCGGAAACGGGTTGTATATTTATATGGGATACATTGTGTGTATATTACGGGTGTGTGCCACTCGAGGAGCACACGACACTCGTATATGACGTSYCTTAACGAGGTGATCTTTTTTACGTAATATGACACTAGTTTTCAGAGACAAATTTTGGKTTTCCAAAACATATTAAACAACTTAACACTTTAAATTAATTAATACGTTAATTTCGTTTTCCATATGTTTCAATATAGATTTCATAATACTCATAATTTTTCAAAACTATGGTGCTTTGGATTTCAAAAGTGTATAATATTACTTACAGTCTTACTATATTATGTAGTGTATTTCTGTATAACATGATACATAATATATGATTGATGTTTATGTATCGGTTAGATGAATACTGAAATCTGTAYCCTAATAGACGCATCCTCATCATGCAGAGTATAGTCGAGTGCCACGCACCCGCATCGAATGGCAGTCGAATAAATAACGTGGGAAAATCTAAAACAATCAAAATCATACATGTCATATCATATTGTCTTTGTGGAGACCGATGCAGTAATCGGAAGTTCTCTTGATACATATATAAGTTCTGCGTTGGATCTTGAGTGCGTTCATCAGGATGCTGGTATTATTGTATGAAGTATGTTTTAATCTGGCTAATAATTTATAAGAGGAGGGTAGTAATTAAACTAGCTCCAAAAAACTTCGGACAAAATGGTTTTTCTTTTTTCTTTACGTTTTCTACTAATTGTCAGTTCAATCTATAGTTCCGTCTTGTATTATAATTCCTCAGAATTTTCAAAGCCCATGTGCCATGTATATTGTATATACATATTGACCCCGGGCGTACATCTTTACACACGCGACACCGTGCGTTGGAGGTGTTTTCCAATTATCTCAAAAGTTATCCAACGCGACCTGTCTGTCTGTCGGCGACGGCGTCCAAATGGTTCACGTCTAAAATGGATAATTACAACAAAGAAATTTAATTACCGCAGGTGGTAAACACGGTTACTCMTTCGTATTATAATCACGATTATGATTATATTTTTTTATACATAAACGAAAACGTCCGAATTTCGTTTACCCCTTTCGGACGAACTGGTGTAAACCGTCAATTAGCCCGGGCGGTATCCTTTTTCATTGAAATTGGGAAACACCTCGTCGATATACCCTGGTTATCTCTGTCCGTATAATTACGACCCRTCGCTGTCAGGTATACACCCAATAATAACAACATTGATGGTCGTCGTCGGTATCTCAATAAAATAATATAGAATATAACCGAGCAACCGTTTTCGAAAATCTCAACAATGATGACCGCCGCTTGGCCAGAGGTGATATCTCGTGCGCAATGCGATCGKYTTAAGTCGACGATATAATACTAAAATATATTGAATAATATTATATGATAAATAAATACTTATTCTCGTTTACCGCACAGGTGAAAGTTCTCTCATCTKTATTGCTGTMTACAGTGTATATTGTAAAGATACTGCAGCGTTATATATATTACGTATTAACATGATGTTCATTCGAGTACCTGGTTCGGATTTAATCTCATAATCGAAATTGTTTTTCAGAACAGAGCGTAATAATGTCGATTTCCCGATTTGTTGCACGTACTAGCTGTTTATATTATTACTATTTTGTAATATTAAACGAAATATTTCGTACGCTAACGTACGCTATACGTATATTCTATGCACTATAGCTAATATCACTGCGGCAGCGTACCACACCGCCTTTCATCTTTATTCGCATCATCCGAATACGAGTTCCTATGTAGACTGATCGCATATTGAAGTAATCTTGATTCGGTTCACACAGTAGTTTTGTATTACAGTGAAATACATACATACGTGTGTGTCTGTGATTTCGTGGAGGTATATAATATAAGTACTCTTCTCGTCCTAACCGTATTATTAGGTGACGTGTTCCGAGTAGGTCTATGTATAGGACATTATATTATTATATTATAATGCTCGCACCCATTTCATCTGTGAACAATCGTATAGTGCGTACTTATAGGCGCCGCACAGTGGAACGCCGTCTCGTTTTCGATAAATTAAAATATTTCAACCGGTCTGAACGACGATGACCGTTTCCTCAGACATTTATATGTAGGTATAGGTCCGTACATACGCACAATAGGGGCCGTACTAAATCTTTTAAAACATCCCCCTAGCTGCTACAATAATAACAAYAATGCCCGGTCAAGAAGGTTTAAAGCTGGATTAAATCACAAAATAAAACAAAGGGGTATTTAAAAGCTGAGTTTTATTAAAATTTTAACTGCGTTCATTTGCATATCACTGAGGTACGGTATATGTTGTGGAACAGCGCTTAGAAACTTGTTATTGTTTTAACAATACACTCGAAACATGAAAAAATGTATAGTATACGGAGCGAGTAAGAGTGGTGTAGCGCACGGCACAAAAAGAGCACTTTTGTATTGTGTATGTATATATTTTTTTTAGAGTGTAATTGACCTTAATTTTCCATATATAGAACGTTTGTTTTCCTTTTTTCCCGTTTTCGTGTCGTAATAACACAATGAGAACGCACATTATTATTAATACCTGTTGGTCAACACACATAAAGAGAATTTTACAATATACAATATAACATATATTATTTGCTACACAGACACACACCAGTGCGCGTGTGTATAATATTATTATTAATACAATGAACGAGCGCCCTATAAAGGGCGCACAGCAGAGACGTATATGCAAATGTCATTGGCACTTTATGTATACAATTTAAAATGTATAATGTATATATATGTATATATAATATGAGAATAATCAATATAATGTAGAAAATCGGTTTACGTTAGAGCATCACTGGTGTAGTGGAGATAATTATAATGAGCGAAAAACAATGACGGAAACACAATCCTTATTGTCAACGTGTGTGCCTATATGTACGCATAATATTTTAAAGAGTACRCCGATAACAATCTCATTGATCTTTACTTTTCTTATTGTTTCAGATCGTATTATATGAACTGGTAGTTGCTAAGAGTCTGATGGCATAGCACAGCAATGATGTCGATCAAATTGGTTTGGCTGTGTTYCCTACTGGCGTTGTTGGGTTACAAATGGACCGACGCTACAGATCTATGTAAGTATATAACTTTTTTATGTGATAATTCATAGGTAATATAAACGTAGAATTTTTAATTTCACAATGATGAAAAAAAATATATATTCCATATTTAGTGATGACTTATAAATATAAAATCTTACAATTCAATATTAATTAACTAAACCAAAAAAATATATACATATATAAATATTTGGTGTGTGGGATATGTATAAATATAATTCAATGAATTGTATACWTTTTATTTTGAACCACAACGTGTTTTTGCCTGCCTGAATGATGACATTATAATAGTAAAAGAATCTTGTTAGTTGTTAACGTACACGCTGATGAAATGCGTGCTATGCGAAGATGAACATTCATTGAAGACATTTTAATGTCACATTAAAAAGGCGAAAAAATCAATGAATATATTTAAACGACTGAAATGTAAAATTATTTTCCTCTCCAATAAACATTTTATTAGCGATTGTTATATCTGAGTGATTCGATCGTGCCGGTGAGGTATGGAAAACGCAATCCATTAGTTAATAACTTTTCGGGTAGGGGTTGTAATATATATACATTAACATTGCAATATATTAATGGCTGCAGCTATACATCATATAATAATTTCAACTTACACTTAACCGTAGTTCGTAAATGTAAAATAATAATAAAATGTTTCACCTTTTCGAATGCACTTTACTTTGCCGTGACATATTTTTATTTTTTTTTTGTTTCATATAACCTTGTTACGTGTTTATAAAATGTATTTAATTAGCAAAGTCGCGTGTKTAATATTATTAGTCGTGATTGTACATAAACACATATTTTATGTAGATATATTTAATTTCCATTAAATGATTTTGACTATAGTAATAATAATAATTGATATTCAATAAACCAACATGTCTCATTTCAAAAACATAACGGATTTATCGCAGTTGTATCGATAAAAATATATAGTTCTATTTAAGATTATTAATAATTCATTGTTTTATGGAAGTACAAATAAATTTTTTTTTTTTTATTGATATATTTTTACAACCTGGCATCATAGGCCATTAGTTATAGTTTTTTTTTTTTTTTTTTAGAAACTCCAAATAATATTGTAATATTGAGAATGTATAAATATACACAAAACGGAAAAATAAATCAATCAGAAACACACAATAAAAAAAATGACGAGTTTAGTCTTTCGCTTTTATTATTTGTACTGCAGCGTAAACCATAATCGTATTTATTATTGCTCTAATAATTGTTCTAAATTTAAATAGAATTCAAATAGATACTGGTCTAAGAAACTAGAAAGTGTTAMATAAATCATTTTAATTTARAAAAATTTYATTTGGTGAAAAGTTGTGTTAAATGTGGTATTTTATAAATTGCATATATACCAACACATAACTTGCCAGTGAAAACGATCTCAAATTACATTACTGTCATCGTAAAAATAACCATCGCAATAAATATATATATATATAATGCGCGTAGGTATAATAGGTGGCACATATGGCACGTATGCGTCTTTGGCCTCTGATATTGTTGAGTAAAGGCGTGCAGTGGTAGTGGGTCCATTTCAATCACAACATATTGCATAAAAACCACATCAACCGCAGCAGTATATGATTCGCACTAGGAACTGAATAGASAACAAGCGACGATTGAAATGAATAATGATTATTGATCATAGTTAAACAATAATATTGATACAAACGACTAGCGTTTCAGTCAAGCATATTATTTTTTAGGTAATAATATACTATATTGTTTTATTTCGTGTGTACATATATGCGTATCATTTCCTCAAAAAACTTTGCTGGGTATACAGCATACAGACATTTTGGAGATGCCATATTATTGGAAACTATTGATACATTTTACGCACGATATTCGCATTTCAATTTATAACATAAAAGGTATATAATATATATACTGTATGTACTTTTGACGTTTTTAAATTTAGTTATTGTAAACCGCAGCAATAATATCGTCGAATTCAAATCTGTGTTACGAGTTCGTTGGTTTTCATCGATGTCGGTTTGGGGTGGGGGATGGTGCTGTGGACGGGGCGGTCGGCGCTTATACCGTGCTCGATCTGCGCGCGAAGGGATTCCAATTAAAAGTTGCAGCAGGTGAGCAGCGCCGAGCGAGACGCGGGCAACTCTGCAACGACGGCGGCGGCGCAAAAACTATTTCGTGTACACACGGACTACACCGTTAGTGTTTTTGCGCTTGTGTGCGTKTGTGCATACGTCAGATAATTAATCGGAGGGGGCGCAGCTGTTCTAATTATACGAGTGCTGCACAGTTTATACCTTCTCCCACGCCGTATCCTGGTTCCGGTCGTGTGCGCAGACGGACGGTGTGGCGGTGGCAACGGCGATGGTCCGATTAATTTTTCAACGTCGTGCGCACACCACGCGCTAGATTTTCGGAAATTCTCTCTGCACATTTATTTATCCGTACATCCATCAATTGGATATTACATATTATATCGAGTGAGAGTGAGAAAGAGATGATGATGATATTATGATATACATATAGTGTGTGGTTACGGCGAGTGTTTCCGTTTCCGCGGTTCCGCTGACCTGCTCGCTCGCTTGAATTATGCATATTTATAAAAATTAATCTCGTGACTAATCGCAGTTGTAATATGTGTGCGGGGTTGTGAGTCGTGCAAAAAATGTCGACGTATTTTTGACATACGTCTGCGAATTTCTTGGCTCGTGCCGGTGCGTAATTGTTATACGCACGATTTCTACTCTATATATATTATATATGTATGTATGTGTAAAAAGTGACGGTAATATCCGTTGTGGCGGTGGAGGGTGGGCGGTACACTGAAAAGAGCAAATATACCACCGCAGCCAACCACATTTGTTGAAAATTGACGATCAGCAATAATCATTATAGTGTATATAHGCGCGATTTCCCCTCACAAGGGGTAAGCATCTATGTATGATATAACATAATATACATGTTTTATTGTACATAGGTATATTGTGCTCAATTTAATGTAATATGTTTTAGTACCAATAGTACCTAATTACGTAATGGCTGAGCTTTGTATGTTGTATACTTATTTTTACTAACGCGATCTTCTCGAATGGCATAATAATAAACTTTACAAGTAGGTAATCAATTAGTAAATTGTTTGCAAAGCTGACTATAAAATTTTGGAGGTGAGGAAATATTAATAATATGTATTTTTATTTGTGTATTTATCATAATATTATTGCATTGCAATATAATGGCTTCTGCATTTTGTGTAACAGGAAACGATCGTTTCCAGGACCATAAAATTAACAGAAAACTAGGTATACCTACGCACAGGGGTTTTTTTTTAAAGAACGTCTTCTAAATATCCACCAAACGAGACAAAATAATTTTAATTAAATTAATTGAAGCTTTATTTTGACAATACCATGCACTCAATGTTTGTTTTTTTTAAATAATGAAAGTGATAATATATAATATATATATCACAATATGAAAGTTATGTATCTAAGTTGCCTATTCGTAACGCCGTGTGTTCATTATGTTTTATTGAACTGTGTTTACCATGGTGGTTTGCAAACCTAGGTTATTTACTTTATTCTAACGATACTGTTATCATATTTTTATTTTACATCAATTAGTTTTACCTGAGATCCACTAAACGCTTTTAAAAATGTTAAATTGTCAAATGTATTATTCTGAAAATAGAGGTTATCGAAAACCGTTCGACAGCGTCTTCCCAATTATATAATTTGTCGGTCACTTCGATAACGTACTTATCACATTTAGCTGCRTGGTATAAAATTATTCAAAATGATGTAAATTTTAACTTTACTTGCAATATATTTAAATATTTTAGAAGCGATCGTATTCATATTTCATTTATATATGGCGTAAAATAAATTGATTATTTTACTTAAAAAAAAGTACACAATTAAAAATATGTAACGATCACTACATTTTTAGAAGCCACTATAGCTATAGGGCTATAAAAATATCATATAATTGTTTAGTATGTTAAACCGTATTTAATTTACCCCCTTGATATATTATATATTGTGTTCGAATAATAAATACCTAAATAAAATATGAATTTATTTTAGAAAAAACTTCGTACTATAAAACCGTCAAAGCTGCATGCATTTCGTACACCAATATAATATTACATAGCATATTATGATAATAATATCACCGACTAGTGCATACTAAATTATATATTACTATATGTTTTTGCCAGCAACATACCTGTTATTAGGTCTCACGTCCTATTCTTATTAAATAATAATATAATAAAAAATTCAATATACGAACATAGTGTATTATATTATATATATATAGCGCATTGGTGCAAAGTCACGCCGTTCCCATTCAGGTGAAGGGTTACGCCCGTGGCCGGCCGGAATTCAATCTTTTTACGGGTGACGTGCGTGCGTATATAATATGCACGTATACTCGCAGTACATATAATATATACCGCAGCCACAACCCTATCGCAAAACAAACATTTGCGAACAATGGATAAACTAACCGGAACACAACGCTGCCGGTCATTGATAAGCCTTTCCCCGGCGTAATATTTTACGCATTCCGCCGCCGTTGGTTTTATCATCCGGAGCTCGCAGCGCCATGCTATCGGCGGAGGTGGCTCGTCCTCGCACGAGAATCATAATAAGCATATCATTCATAAAATATGGTTTGTGTACGTTGTATTTACAATTAAAAACATTCCAGGGAAGTAGCTCTGATTTATGGTAGGCATCGAGTGTACCTCATCGTCAGCAACRGTCGCACTATCATGAATTGTATTCAATTTGAATTCAAATTAAGTCGTATTGTACTGCACGAAATAAAAAACGATTTTTGACGGAGATGTCGAACGAAATTTGTAAGAATAGTAGTTTACTTTACACRTTTATATCAGCTATTTATTTTTATTTATATGATAGGTCCAACTAATTATTCCTAAAAACTTATTGCGTAGGTAAGTATATAGGCATAAARGTGACAATTGATTTTCAAAATATATTAGTTAACTA